GGATCGGAAGACAACTGGGAATCACCCATACAACTGTGTCTCGGGTGGTAAAATCGTTTAAGGAGTCCCAGACGACCGAGCGGCGGGCTGGAAGTGGAAGAAAATCGAAGACAGCTGACCCTGTGAAGGCCCGGAAGGTGTTGGATTATTTCAAGCGTAATCCGAACCTTTCAATTCGCGACGCGGCTCTGAAGGCAAAGTGTTCCGCCTGGTTCGTTCAGCAAACCATGAAACGAGCTGGGCTTCGTGTATTCAAGGTCCGGAAGGCACCGAACCGGCGTGATCAGCAAAACACGGCGGCCAAATCCCGCGCAAGGAAGCTGTATCGAGAGTGGTTAACGAAACCGATGTGTGTGGTTATGGATGACGAAACCTACATCAAGGCAGACGCAAAGCAGATACCGGGGCTGGAGTTCTACGTTGCCAAATCACGGTTTGATGTTCCGGAAGCCATAAGGAAGAAGAAAGTGGATGCCAATGCGGTAAACTGAGTAAACCGTACATCACAATGGGTACCATCAACAGCGAAATTTACCGCACCGAGTGCCTCCAGAAGCGTCTGTTGCCCTTCCTGCGGTCCCACGGAGGCGAGACATTATTTTGGCCGGACCTGGCATCATGCCATTACGCGCGATCGACGTTGGATTGGTACAGAGACAATAACGTTGTTTTTGTACCAAAAACCGCCAACCCCCCAAATTCACCAGAGATTCGTCCGGTGGAAAGATTTTGGGCCATAATGAAGGCCAAAGTTCGAAAATCGTCCAAGGTGTTTAAGAACGAGCTGGAGTTGAAGAAAGAATGGATAAAAGTGACCAAAAAGGTCGGCTTCACCATTGCACAAAATGTAATGAGGGGTCTTAAGGGAAAGGTGCGGGCTTTCAGCGATGGAAAGGAAATTGAATAAAGTAATTATGCCGAAACATAATCCATATGTATAAGTTCATTCCCTGAAAGTTTCAAGAAAATCCGACTTGAAATAAATTTTTGGCGAACACTTTTGTCTGGTGCATTTTTTTCGAGTACAGGCCTTAAAAGAGACAATCGGTCGCTCACTTTCCCGGAGACCCAAAATCAATGGGGCAATGAGCTTTGGAGGAAATAATTTTCAATTAATAAAATAAATTATTGGGATATTAATAACACTAAATATCAACCAATAGTCAAACATAGTGAGCTCGATTAATTATAGTATTCAACTTCATCCTTCTGCTGTCACGAGGATCTTCCGCCACACGAACACATGATCGGGTTTCCTCATAACACGTTACCGGACCACCAAGCAGGATTCCAAAATCGGCTAGAAGACACACCAGCCATACTACTTCACAAGCAGCTGTTGCCCTGTGCACTCCGCCTCCGTTGAAGAGAGCGATAAATCTTGAACAAATACTCAGTCACAGATCGTCGATCGTGTACCTCATTGGCCCAATCAGCGTCGCAAAATGCAGCCAGGGCAGCCTCTTGATCGTCACCACGAAATTCGAACTCCAGGTTCGGGGTTCCCTTCACATACCGCAAGATTCTTTTCAGGTGCTCCTCCGTTGGGCAGCTTTGGTATTGGCTTGTCAGTACGTTAGCTTTCTTCTCCCTTCCACAGGCATTCAATTGGTGTGGACACTGGCCAACACTCGTCCGTGCCAAACCTCTTCGGCAAATCTTTTAGATATGCTTGTTGGTCAATCCGCATAATCCTTCCGTCCACATCGCGCTCTATGTGCATTCCCAAGAAGCTACTCAGCGCCAAGATCCACCATTTCAAACACCTTCGACAAAAGCAGCTTCACGGTCCGAATTACCTTCAGACAATGGCTGTCAACGAGTATATCGTCCACATAGAGAACGAGGAATACTTTCTCTTGTCCAGAACTTCGGATATACAGACACGGATCGTTGTCGCTGCGTTTAAATCCAATACTGATCACAAACCGGTGTCATACTGCTGAGTGAACCCACGTGTCACTAGTCTTGCCTTATAACGGTCCGATTCGCCGTTCGCACCAGGCTAGCACTTTAAAAATCCACTTGCAGGAAATTGGCTTTCTTCCAGCAGGCAGCGTCGTTAGAGTCCACGTCCCACTGCGAGTCAATGGGTTCATTTCTTCTTGCACGCCCGTCTGCCATTTCGGCCAATCGACACGCTTCCGCATTTCCTACAGTGTAGATCCTCGAAGATCCTCTACGAATTCGATGGCACTCAACTCAAGGCAAATCTCGCAAAGTCCATATCAAAATCCTTCTGCCATCCAGGGGGGTTCCGAATACAACGACTTCGTGCGGTCGATTCCTGTTGTTCATCATTCGCTTCGTGCTCTTCTTCCATTTCTTCACAGCTGGTGAATCCGTCGAACTCTTCTTCAGAAACTGCTGAATCTTCCTTGGCGATCGTTATCGAAAGTAGCATGCGAGAAATCCGCTTCCCGAACTGTGCCTCAGCGATGGCCGTATACTCCTCAAAGCATTGCAGCATGGCGGCTTCCGGTTATAATTCTGTCAAATACCTCTTCCAGTTAGAAGAAACTTGGAAATTCTGTGGAATACCTCTCAATATGAGTATTTTTGGAGTCTTGATGACGTGTAGATACCGGAAATCGATGTCTGTCGCCTTCTTTAAATTCAATATGGCGGCTTCCGGTTAGAGAAAACTTAGAAATTCTGTGGAATACCTCTCAATGTGGGTATATTTGGAATCTTCGTGAAGTGTAAGGACTGGAAACCCATGTCTGATACCATTTTGAATTCCATACACCAGCTTCCGGTTTGAGAAAAGCTGAGAACTACTGCCAGATTACCCACATTATGGGTATTTTTGGAATCGGGGTGACGTGTAGGGATCGAACATCGATGTCTGAGGCCATTTTAAAATTCAATATGGCGGCTTCCGGTTGGATAAAAACTTGAAAATTCTGTCAAATTCCTCTCAACATGGGTATTTCTGGAATCGGGGTGACATGTAGCAACCACGACATCTTGGTGACCTGTAGGGACCGGAAACTAATGCCTTTTTTAAATTGAAGATGGCGGCTTCCAGTTACAGAAAAATTGAAAAATACTATGAAATACCCCTCAATATGCGTATTTTTGTGATGATGTGTAGAGACCGGAAATCCTTGGCTGACGACATTTTGTATTCACTATGGTGGCTTTCCGTTAGAGAATAACTGGGGAATTATGTCCAATACCTGTAATACCTGTACCTGTACCTACCGCCTGTATTTTTTTGTTTTTCTGTAACCGGAAGCCACCATATTGAATTTTAAAATAGCATCAGACATGGACTTCCGGATCCTACATGTCACCCCGATTCCAAAAATACTCATATTGTGGTGTATTTGACAGTGTGTCAAAGTTTTTTTTTCTACCGGAAGCCACCATCTTGGATTTCAACATAGCTTCAGACATGAATTTTCGGTTTCTACACATCAACACGATTCCAAAATTACCCATATTGAACTTCTCAAACTGGAAGCCACCATTTGGATTTTAAAAAGGCGTCAGATATAGATTTCCGAACTCTACACGTCATCCCGATTCCAAAAATACCCATATTGTGGAGTATTTGACAGAATTTTCAAGTTTTTCTCCAACCCGAAGCCACCATCTTAAATTTCAAAATGGCCTCAGATATCGATTTCTGAACCCTACACGTCACCAAGCTACCAAAAATACTCATTAATTTTAGGCAGGTAATTAGGCAGTAATTCCCAGTTTTTCTCCCACCGGAAGCCACCATATTGAATTCAAAATGGCGTCAGACATCGATTTCCGATCCCTACATGTCACCCCAATTCTAAAAATACCCATATTGAGGGGTATTTGACAAAATTTTCAGGTTTTTCTCCCACCGGAAGCCACCATCTTGAATTTCAAATCAGCCTCAGACATCGATTTCCAGTCCCTACACGTCATCCCGACTCTAAAAATACCAGTTTTATGGGGTACTTGGCGGAATTTCCAAATGTTTCTTCAACCGGAAGCCGCCATATTGAATTTCAAAATGGCCTCAGACATGGGTTTCCGATCCCTACACGTCACTCCGATTCCAAAAATACCCATATTGAGCAAGCCGAAGAAATTATTGGCTGGAATGGAATCAAACAAAAAATTGATTGAAACAAATGTATAAGTACCAAAAACCGTAACCATCGCTTATATAACTCAAACGGTTTCCATCCAGTCGACGGCAGCGGAGGTTACGACTCTTGTCACTAAAAATCGTCACTTCAGTACAACTTTTATCACCGAAAAATGACTGTGAAAAATTACAGTTCAAGCGTAACTATTCAAATCGACGTATCTGATTTTGTAAACAATCACTTCAATCGACGTCTTAACCTCTTAGGTCTTAACTGCTAACTCACCAACGCAAACACCAGCATCTGGAAGGAGAATCTTTTCCGTTCTAGCTGCTGTTGCTAGTATTTGTGAGTGAGCTAGTATTTGTGAGTGAGCTAGCAGTTGCCACAAATCATCGATTGAAGTGATTGTTTACAAAATTATATACGTCGATTTGAATAGTTATGCTTGAGTTATTCTTCTCAAAAAGGGGTTCCTATAGTTTGGTCGAATAGTGGAATTGCTATCCTTCAACAATTACTTGATGTCTGTGCTAGGAATGATTGTTTTTATGGCTGACATGCCCCCACCTAAATCTACAGTGACACGTTTGTAACCGTCAATTTAGGTACTTGAAATCGGCGGCCGTGAAAGGGAAACCACTTACGTGCTGGTATTCTCCCATACAACTTGGATTTCACTTCCACCACTTTTGGAGCTCGTGTCAATTCTATTTTATAGAAGTTGTCGTATTTCACGAAGTGGGGAAATCAAAATGCCGTATTTCGGCAATACTTTTTCGTCACTGTTCGGAGTCAGTAAGACCTTATTTTCAAGATGGTGGAGAGCATGTGCCTTCGTATCTTTGATATACCGCCCCGTCCGGAATTACTTGACCGGCCCAATTTAGTTCGCACTTGCCTAACATCCGACTCGAAATTAAGTTTCAGCGATGCCGTGAGCTCACCGCATCCGCATGTGCCGAATGCGCGGTTCACCTTTGCGGAAACCGGTCGCTCCGGTGCTAGTTCGGCAGCTGAAGCCCATCAGCTGCTGCCTGAGGGTATCGATGATACCAGAATGGACCTTTCCCAGCTGGATGAGTCCGGTGCCGCTAGTGGCAGTGGTGCTACTGGCCGTAGTGTTCCCAGCACTCCTCAGCAGACGTCACCGAACGAACATGAACGGGTCGTCATTCACGGGGATTTGGCTGTTCCGTCGAACAGTAGCAACGAAGCCGAACAAGCGGGAGAACAGCTGGCTCCAAGTGGAAGTGCACTTTCGGTTGCAGCCATGGAAGAGATTGAAGCGCACGAAGCTGAAGAATCGATTGCAGGACCTTCCGGTGTGAGCAGCGAGGGCGAAGGACAAGTCCCAGAGGTTACCGTGTCTGCCGTGGAAGGTTTGAGTGAAACAAGTTTTGGCTCTTACAGATTGGTAATGAGAATTTTCGTTACTGTTTTTTAGATGACGATGACGATTACATCACGGAATCGACGATGGTCGAGACGAGGGTCGACCACGACCAGGCGGCAACCACTTCGGAGGCTACTCCTGCGCCGTCCGGCGAGCAGATGGACGATGATGATTTGGATATGGATATGGAGGAAGATCGGGACCGGAGTACGGGAACCGGTGGAGAAGACGAATCGGGTGACGGTGTCACTTCGGAAGGCGAAAAGCCGGGAACGTCCACCTCAGCTCTCGTAAGTGCAGATGTCGGATACGGGTAATTTGAACAGGTATTTATTTATCGAAATTCCAGATGGAAGAAGGAAGCGAAGCAGAAGTTCTACCAACTCCAGCCACGCGGGCTCGTGGTCGTGGCCGCGGCCGTCGTTTTGGACAGCGTGGCAGTATTGTCAGAGCTACCACTTGGAGTGAAGGTCGATGTAAGCATTCTGATTGTGGTGCTGAACATGTGATTCGATATAAACCTATACGATCATTTCGAATTACAGCTTTGAACCGTTCCGGACCATCAATGGCCCCCAATAATCAACAGCGATCGCCGATGGGCAGTCCCAACAGAGCATTCCATCACCACCAAGGATCGCCGCATCGCCAGTACCAGCACTACGCGCAGCAACAGGTCAGCCCGCCGATGCGCCGGAATACCCGTTCGGCACGTTCACGTCGTTCTACACCAAACTATCGTCCTTAGAAGACGGATGTTCCGTTAAACTTACACGTAAGATATTTATTAGGAAGACGCTTCTCAAGCTGGATTGAGGCCAAGTAAGTTGCACATTTTTCTCTCAGTTTCTTGAATCCACCAACCAAAATATTTTCGTTGTACAAAACCATATTTGTAGCCAGTTTTCCGAACGAGCGGAATTGATCTCCGAGTGATTCGCGGAGGTTTCTTAGGTAAACACATTTATTATTAGATGTAGCGAGTAAACTGTGGTGTTCACATAATTATTCAAATATTAATTCGGCATTCACATCACCCGGTAGAAGCTCTGTTAGAAGAATAAATCACATTCTGTTGGAAGTGATTGAAGTAAAAACATAAATTGAATTCTAATTCGATAGTGAACTTTATTATGGCGATGACATCCATTTTTTTTAACTAGTTTGTTTATTTACTAGGCTCAGTCGTGTGTGACACTTTGCGGAGCCAAAAATTCGTATTTTTTTAATTACCATTTTAAACAGCAGCAAACCTAGGTTAGTATTGGGTACCAATTACTCGTGGCGGGGTTGAGATTAATGGGTAACAATTTTTTTTGGAAGGAGATAGGTAGGAAACAGGTTTCTGAAGCCTCCTTCAGATACTACTCTCGAACGGTCGACCAAATGCTAGCTGGGCGGGGGCAAGTATCACAGAAACAGGTGGATAATAAGACATGGATGCAATGGCCTGCATGTAGGGAAGATCACGATTTCCCAATACCTGATCTATGTCATCATAACCGGTTCTACGAGGTTTATTCTGTAGAGATGTGCGTCTAGCGATTAATGGTTGGACATAAGTCTTGACATCACGCGAATGAATCCGCGACTTACGACACCACCCAAGAGAATTACTTGTCCAATCGATTTGCTAACTTAGAAGAGAACTCAGACGTTTTAATGGGAAAAATTCATCATGTGAAATTCTTCTATCATATATCTCGCCTTGTTGTGCGCCCACCTTTGCGAGAGAGTCTGCCTTCTCATTGCCTGGGATTGAGCAAAGTGAGGGGACCCATACAAAAGTAATCATATATGATCTTTCGACCAGCAAACTCATCTGCTCCCTTACCTTTGAAAGGAAATAAGATGAGTGCCTACCTTGTTTCATCGACCGAATAGCCTCAATCGAACTGAGACTATCCGAGAAGATGAAGTAATGGTCTGTGGGCATGTCGGAAACTCCTTGAATAGCCTGTTTCACGGAGAGATCATAGTCAATGGGTGAACTGTAGTTATTAAAGCATACACGAGGAGGGATGACATCCATTGTTGCGGTATTGAATTTTGGATTTCTTGATGAATCATGGAACTTTTTCACAAACCTCATTATTTAAATCATTACTGTGTACATAAGGCATAAGCAGAGAAATTCAGAGGCTCATGTTGCCAGAAGTTGTGCTTACTACTACGGACCCACAAGACCTTAAGCCTTGACCTCTGGTCAACTTCGCCCTGTACTAAGTGTACCATGTGAGCAGTTCCACGCCAAATGACGAATGCACCTAATACGACCTTCTCTGATGTGTATGAACACTTTGCAAAATTCTCGCGTCACCTTTCAAATAGACCAATCTACATTGATCGATTCTCAAAAACATGTTCAGCTGATCAAGGTCACATCTTGAAGGAAGTTGGACTAGCAAAAGTAAGTAAGTCCTGGAACATGTTGGACAGTTTGCTAAGTTATTTAAGCTTTGCTATTCCTGGCATGTGCGTAGCCAGAGAAGGATATGAGCACTCTGAAAAATCTCCACGTCCGATTTACGTGAAATATCACGTAACTGATCAGTATTTAGAAACCCTCAAATGTTGGTGCTCAAGAGTAAAGCCCTGCCAATTGACTAATCCAATTTTATGCCGGCCACCGCGGCGCTGTAATCGTAGCGGTGATGAACGTGAAATCATCTGTCAAATTGCATATATTTTCAAGTTTGTGATAAGAAAACTATTTTTTACGAGTTATTGTAATTGCTTCATTCATTAACAGATAGCAAATATGAACAGAAAAGTAGCGCCGGTAAGAATGGTAAGTAAATCCTAATTTTTAAATGCAAAATTATTGAGAAATTTTATTGTTTTGGCTATAGTCATTCATGTCGGTTTGTCGGCAAAGCTCGAGTGGTAGGAAACTTCATTTTAAACTGCTCGAATTATGTGATTAATTCTCGAACTAAGTTTTTTTTTAGATTACACGGCCATAGAATCTGACTCAAATTTGAGCTCCGTTTTCTCACTTTTACTAAAATCATGAATACTCATACACTGAGTAAAAATCGGCTCACATTTGAGCTTCTATTCGTCGAGCCCGTTCCCTTGATACCCATTTGTAGGGGTGCCGTGGTATTTTCACAAACCGCTATCTTAGATTCCTGAATAATACCAGACATTGATTTTTGGATTCTACTTGTCGAGTCCGTTCCGTTTTGCGTTTCAAAGGCATTTACGCAAAGGACGTCGCCATCTTGAATTCTGAAATAGCACTGGGCATCGATTTTTGATTTCTACTCGTAGCGTTCGTTTCGTAGATATTAATATTTTAGGGTTGTCGAGGTATTTGCACAAACTGGATGTCGCCATCTTGAAATCAGGCTCGTCAACTTTAAAGGACTTCACCACCTTGGATTTAAAACAGTCCGGAAGCCACTCAGGTGCTGGAAATTATAACCAACCCTGTAGCTAACCATATCGATGGCTATGTGGTCTTTCCTCTACCCTTGATTAAGGCAACAACGCCGAGTCGAATATGACGTAATGCTCGATCATTACATTTGAATGACTTCATGTCACCGAGCATATAAGATGGTCGGCGTAGTGGATTGTTGTGATGTAAAGGGCCCGGTGGCCTAGTGTCGACCATTTTTGCTTACTAAGCAGAAGATCACACTGAACCCATAACAAACGTAAATTTTACCTGAAATTTCAGGTGACTTCTTAAAAACAAGAATCTAATAAAAATTACATGCTACACGTAAAATTCATCGACATGTTAATGAAATTTGCTGGATTTACTGGTCGAGTTCATGCTGGTGAAGGTTATGTAAAATTCATTTAAATTTTCCGTGATCTCATGGTGTGAAAATGTTCTGTGCGTAACCTCTTAAGTTCAAGATGGTGACAGAAGAAAGTATTGGCATTCCCCATTATTGGAAGATTTGGGATTGCTAGACAGCCCAGTTTTTAACATTCATTGAAATCCAGAAAATAATCTTAAGTTTTATTAATCCAGAAATGAAAAAGTGAATGCAGGATCAGGTTATTTGGGCTATTCATAATTTTAAATTGCGAGCTACAAGATTATTCTAGTAAACGGGGGATTTTTAAAGCTTCCAGATCATCAGTTCCGGACTAAAATAAATGGTGAGAATCAAATATTTACATTTAAAGAAAAAAATAAAACGGTGATCAATTTTCGCTTTCTAATCTCTTAAACAGAAAATACCGAGCTCTCAGAAATTGAAACCCTTTCCTAAAGTAAAAAATGTGAGTCTTTCTGGAAGCAGTTCCACCCAGGATGAGGAAAAAACAGGCAGTAGATCTAGTGAAACCATGAAATAGGTGGTGCATCAATTAAAGACAAATTTAATTTTAATAAAACACTTTGAAAATAAATGTGTTACCAAAATATTTGGCTTCATAGACTTCATGAAAAAATAAATCGAAATTTACCACAAATTCACATAAACATAACTGTAAAACCCTGTGAAACTTACTTGAAAATTCACGTAACTTTTAAGTATTGCCAATTTGAATAACATCTGTAGATCTGGTAAAATTGACGTGAAAATCACTTGATTTTTATATGCATCATTTGAACGGAATTTAATGCCCAAAACACGTAATATTCACCTGAAAAGTAAGATGGAACATATCTACGTACCTTTTCAGGTGAATATTACGTGTATTTTATTTGTAGTGCATGCACACTTAGATTTTTTTGCCGAGATGTTCACCACCGAGCAGCTCGGCAATCTATTTTGCTGGATCTCAGTTTAAAATTTGCCGAGATTCAGCAAACGGCAATTCTGCCGAGGTCTCGGCTAACAAACATAAATTTTGCTGAGATCTCAGTAAAAATAAATGCCGAGCCTGCTCGGTGGTGCCAATCTCGGCAAAAAATCTAAGTGTGTGTAAGTTCACCTAAATCGAAGTCAAACATCATTTCTGACAGTGCTGATTCCTTTTGAAGGGGCTCATGGATGAACAATTAGGAAAGTTGCTAAACGATGATGATGGTAACAATCGGTGTATCCCTCAACCAATTTTCATCTTGTCAGCTGAGCCTAACTAACGAAAGCCTGTCACAAAGTGGGCTATGCGTTTGGTCCAACGAGCGAAAGTTGTCATACTAATAGCGAATTCGTTTATTATTCAGTTTCAACCTGGATTGGGTATCAAGATTGGGTCTGCTTGTTTTCTGACAAACGTCAGTTTGCTCGTTTGTTTTTAAAACCTAGCTCAGGTTGAGGTTCGCACCCCGATAATAAACGAATTCGCTATAAGTTGATAGTCTAATTTACCCTTCCCACTAACAAATACATCCTTTTCTTCCGTGACAACCGTGCAAATGCAGATATGCATTCGGTATACTTATAGCGAATTCGTTTATTATTCAGTTCCAACCTGGATCGGGTATCAAGATTTGGTCTGCTTGTTTTCTGACAAACGTCAATTTGCTCGTTTGTTTTTAAAACCTAGCTCAGGTTGAGGTTCACACTGACAAAAAGTTCGGTTTCGCACTGGGTTGGAACTGGTGTTAACCCCGATAATAAACGAATTCGCTATTAGTATACTTATAACAACGGATGCCCAGCAAACAAACAGTCCCCTTCCCGATGACCGTAAAGCTGGGTTTAGACAGGGCAAGTCAATTGATCAAGTCAGTTGAATTCAATTGGCTTGAAAAGTTGAGCAAGGTTCAATTTTTTTTAATTCAAGTGAGTTGATCAAGTCAATTGAATGGCATGGTTTACACGTTCAATTCGCGTTCAAGTCAGTTGAATTCAACTGACTTGATCAGTTGACTTGCCCTATCTAAACCCAGCTTAAGAGGAAATTCAGAGCATTTAAGGGATTGCAGGGATTTGATTTCTGAGGCTAGCTCCAAAAGAATACAGACGAGAATTTCAAGAGAGTCGAGTTCGGGTGATCTAAGGAATGTCGGGGAGCGTTCCAAGCATGGACCCAAAGGGTAAGGACCTCCTTCACGCGATTTTTTTTTGTTCACCTAGCTGTTTTTTTTAGTGTACTTGGTGCACCCGGTACTAGAGCAAAAGACAGCAATTTG